CCCATATCCCTGGTCTGCTGGCTCCCCCAGCAGACCAGGGAGACGGGGAGCAGCTTTTCTTGCCCCGGAGGAGGCGGGCAGCAGGACCAGGCGTCCCGCCGCTCCAGTCCTCCGGGGTGAGAAAATCCCCATTCGTAACTGCGGATCTGACATAAGTCGGATCCGCGTAACTCGGGGACTGCCTGTACTAGGATACTATTGTAATGGGGGCCACAAAGAACCAAGTTCTATTATTTAATGGGAGGTGAGCGTTTGCATGGGAGTGGGGTCAGTTTTATTTCTGGGCTATGTTGTCTTTCTTTGTAAGAAAGTTGCAAGGATTTTTGGGGGCGGAGGGGGTAAGGCACCCAGACATGGACATCCTAACGCACAAATGTATTTCCTGATCCTGCGAATACTTACTGGCTGCGTCTAGACTGGCATGATTTTGCGGAAATACTTTTAACAGAAAAGTTTTTCCGTTAAAAGTATTTCCGCAAAAGTGCGTCTAGATTGGCAAGATTTGCTTTTGCGCAAAAGCATCCGTGGCCAGTCTAGACACGATTTTGCGCAAGAAAGCCCCGATCGCCATTTTAGCCATTGCTCAAAACAATTCTTCCCTGTCTACGCTGGCCCTCTTGAGCAAGTATTCTTGCGCAAGAGGGCTTTTTCCCTGAGCGGGAGCATGAAAGTATTTGCACAAGAAGCACTGATTTTGTACATTAAAGTCAGTGCTCTTGCACAAATTCAAGCGGCCAGTGTAGACAGCTGGCACGTTTTGCGCAAAATCTTGCCAGTCTAGATGCACCCACCCTGTATAGCCTCACTCTTGTGATGGGACTCCCACTGAAGTCTTAGGCTCACTCACATGACTCAGACTAAACAAAGGCTTCATTTATAGCAACAGGGCTTCATTCTAATCATATATTAAAACTGCCCTTAGAGTGCACAATCCCCTGTATGCCTGTAACATGCCGTAGATTTAGCCTTGCAGACTAGATTGGTTTAAGATTATAATTGTAAAGTGGTTATGTCCACATGAGTTGTGCTCAGAGGTGAAAGTAAGAGGGAGCACCTTGGTACGCAGCTCTGGCAAGAGCTGGCTGAGCTGTGGCAAAAGCCAGCAGGGAGCTATTTAAGGAACTGGCAGGGACCCAGGTTGCGATGGGACAGTAGCTGTAAGAAATTTCAGTTACTTTTACCTTTGGTTGTGTTCAAGGTTTGAAAAACAGCCCAAGCTTCAACCAAGTAAGTAGTTTCCAGTAATAGTTTTGAGTGAATTCAATACAAAAAAGTTGACTTTGTAAATATAAAAACAGTGTTCTCTTATACATCTCCAAATTGCAGCTGCTGCTGCAGCCAGTCCTGTCAAATGTGCTGCATCTCACATGGTGCTCATGCCTTTGGCTCCTCTGCCCTGTCTGCATTGGTGATCAAGGGCCAATTCTGAGGGTGACCTATCCAGAAGTCTTTAACAGTGAATCATGAGTTCTAGTCCCATCTTCCCCACTGGTTGCTAATCGTTCTGTAAAATGAACAACCCTTATCATTAGCCAAGGACTCATACCCCATTCGGCAGAGAACTGAGACAGCACAAAAAGTCACTTCAAGCAAACCTGGGGCTACAGACCAGGAATTTCATAAGAGGGATGAGTCCAACCATCTTGGCACACTACCTTTTAGAATAACAGACACATGTGGCTGTGCTGTCTCTAACCACTAGACCATACTATACTCCCAATGCCAGGAGTTCTGATACCCAATATTGCATTTCTTTCTCCCCAATAGCTGTGTAACCCACTACAACAAACTACACATAGCAAATGGAATGTCTTTTCCTCCCCCATCTATAGGCATCTATCCACACAGAGGATAACATCCTCATCTACCATGGTTATTCCTAGAGCTCACGTGGAAACTTACCCTGTGGAGCTGAGAGTGCAGAATTCAAATCCTGCTGAGGACCCATTGGAAAGAGGGAAATTAGTATGTGATCAAGTGGTCAAAGCCTGTATCCTAATGCTCGTGAACTGAAATTTTGCAAGTAAACTTAATTTTGCTATTTTCTAATGTTTGAGAGTTTCATTTTGCAACCTCCATCATCTTTTAATGTAGTATGTCTACTATTGAGAGAGACGAGGTAGCTGAAGTAATATGCTTTATTGGTCCAACTGCTGTTTGCGGAAGGGACAAACTTTTGAACTTCAGAGAGGTGCTTAGGTCTGGAGAGAGTAACCAGAGTGTCTATCACTGATGGATTGGACTGCCTTTTACATCAAGGTGAGATAATAAATGTAATTTTTTAAATGATTTTAAAAACAACTTTTAAAAATGAGCAGTCCTGTGGCACCTTGGAGACTAACAAAAATGTATAGTATCATGAGCTTTTGTGGGCAAAACCCACTTGTTCAGAGGAGACCAAGATCGTCTCATTTGAAGTGGGTTTTGCTCCTGAAAACACATGATTTTTTTTATATATAATTGTTAGTTTCTAATGTGCCACAGGATGACTCGTTTTTAAAAGTTGTTTTTAAAAGTTAGACTAACACGGCTGCCCTTCTGAAATGATTTTATATTTCAAAACTTTGCATTTAGAAATGATTTGGGATGCTGGGCTAGGGTTCATTTTATTTCAGTTATATTTTTAGTATTTCCTTTCTTGTTAATGAAATGCAGGCCCGGAGTTAATGTCTTGTAAATTCTGGCCACCCTTGTGCCTTTCTTTCAAGAAGTCCATTTAGCTGATTGGAGTAAGACGTCTGTGGAAAGGAAAAGCCTTAACAGTTTAGACGGAGAGCATAAACAAAGAAGGAGTGGGCAGAACTTGTACCTGGCTTGGTGTTAAAATATGAACAGTTGGTAACTGAAGCCAGCATGAACATGCTTATCACAAACCTGTGCAGGACAAAGCAGACATTTAATGCCTCCGTCAGCAGTAATGCAGCGTCCCCTCGGCTATTCCTTTAATCCGTAAAGCTTCCTGGTCAATCCAAGATGGGAGGCCTTTCTGTAATGACTTGGCAAGAGAAAGGGTCCAGAACTTCTCTGCAAATACAATTAAGTTGTCAAAGACAAATACCGTATTTGAATTAAAACTATAAATCTGTCATCTACACCTACTCCACATCAGATAAAAGGAAAAGAAACCCTCCCATCTAACAAACAGCCTTAATTACCAGAGCACTGCAGCCTTTGAGCAGAACGGAGCTGATGACAGTTGACTTCATACGCCAATCACAGAGTGGGAGCAACTTGATGTAGGAGAATTACTGCTTGAAGTAGTGTAGCAAAGACAGCAGGGCCAAGATGGAAAATTATATGTCTAACACACTGTTGGCACTATACAAATAAGCAACCACCACCTTAGTTTGGTTTATATTAAAATGGAGAAAGATTCTGAAGACTGATGTGTGCTCAAGTCCAATTTAACACAGTAGTAGCCATGCCTTGCATCTCCCTCCAGATACAAATACATAAAAAGAGCAGATGGTTGGCTCTTCCTCCCACTCCTGAACTACCACTGGTACAACATCACTAGGGATAGCAACAGTAGAAGCCCTACTTTTCAGCAAATACTACTCACAAAGGTTTCTATGACTGTGTTATCCAGCCCTGCTCAGAGGAGCTCTATGCAGCAGAATGGTAAAAACGCCAGTGACCACTGGAGGCCTGTCTCTACCAGCAGATAACCCAAGGAGTGAGTTATAAGAAACTAAAGTGATTGGAATGGCCTCTTTTGCAGTGGTCAGGGTCCCAGTGAGTCAAACTCTGTAGCTGTTAACATTTGTATTGGTGAAGTTACAAGTGGCAAAGCTGGAAACAAATTCAAAATACAAAGTAAGGAAATAAGCCCTTTTGATATTTTTCTTTGTTGCCTTATACATCTCTGTTTAGGTAGGGATCACAGAGTCCAGCCATTCAGTCACCAGCATAAAACGTGGTCAGCTTTTGTATGTATTGGAATCCCTCTAAATTAGTTGTATTTGAAGGTGGCACTTAATTATCCCAGATAACTTGAACTAAGTGACTTCACAATGCTTTTCTAGGACATCTCTGAAACACCTTTTCTTTTCTGACCTTTATAATTACTTTTCAGCCCTTTCTGCTCATCAGTTTATTCTGATGATCTCCTTACCCACTGGACTTCCTCCTGACTCAATGACGTTGGCTATTTTGCTTCCACGGACTAATGGAGTCAGTCACAGAGAGGAATCAGTATACGCCCCATGATGAAACCCCCGTGAAGTAAAATACACATCGGTGGTAGAGCACACAAACTGTTTGGTAGTAATACAGCTGGAATTTTGGAAAATATTTAACATAATTGGAAAATGATCATGAACTTTTATAAAGAAACTGCAGACTTGGGAATAAGATCAGAATAGCTCTAAGTGAATATGATCTATAAAAAAATCTACACAATATAAATATACAGGTCGGACCTCGCTGGTCTGGCACTCTCGGGACCTGACTGGTCCCAAAGGAGGGGATTTGCCAGACCAAGAGAGGCTCCTCCCTACTCCAGCCTGCCCCCGCTGCTGCTCCAGACCCCCAGGGCTCTCTAGATGCTGCCAGCCCCACTGCTGTCTGGACTGAAGCTCAACAGTTGGGGCAGAGCTCCACAGCTGCCTGGCAGCTGGGGCCAAAGCTGCACAGCGGGGTGCTGAGAGAAGGGCTGGGGCCAGAGCTCCCTGGCTGCTGCTAAGGCTGGGGCTGGAGCCAGAATACCACCGGAGCCAGAGTTCCACAGCTTGAGCTCCACTGCCGCAGGGGCCTGAGCTCCCTGCCATGCCGCCTGTCTCCCCCTGCAACACTAGGCTCCCAGCTGAGTTTCTGCTGCTCCCTTCAGCACTCTTGTCTTGCTGCCAATCCTCCCTGTTCCTGGGCTATGTAGTCCAGAAACATCTGTGGTCCAATTAAGGAAGGTACAACCTGTATTGAAATTTCCCCCATGGTAGTAAGTTACCTGTAGAATATATTGGAACAAGTCACAAAAAATGCTCATATGGGATCAGATTTCAAAATCAGTCTCTACTGTTGTACAAAACCTAAGATTTATGAGCACAAATTGCTTGTGTGCATGTAAATTAGGTACTCATATTATAATATAAGAATGTACTATTCAAAGTGTAATTTTGGTACAAACATATGCATGTGTACAATATGATAAAGGTAAAGACAAACATACAGTGTATCTATACATTGAGGTAAGGGATACATATGCAAGAATTTAATATTGTTCATGATAGTGAACATGCTTCTCACAAATACAGGCTGGTGATCATGAAGTTTAGGATCAAACTACCTGAAAAGTATTCAAATGGGAGAAAAGTGATATGAGGCCCACTTGAAACCTATGAGTCTTCCAAATTGTACCCAAGTGAATTATCATCATGTCAGAATATGAGCATTTGAAAAAAAATGCGGCTACGAAGGATATGATGACAGTTCTCTGTCCTTCACATATTCATCAGTAGGTGCCCTGTTCATCTGTTTTGTATTTAGGATTTTTTTATTAGGAGTGCTAGAGATGGGCTAGTAGGCAAGTGTTATACTACATAATCATTTACTGATGGATTCCATATATCAACAACCATATTTTAAATGGACAGGAGAAGCTGAGAGGAGAATTATGGCAAGATCCAGAGACTGAGGTAAAGTGCCAAGACTGTCATAGGAATTACAGTCACAGGAGGAGTTCTTTCCACTGCTTAAGCTAGAAGAGATGCTTCTTTAGCCTGACAAGCAAGAAGGTGTGTTGTGAGTACACAGACCTTAGGTGGGATCCTGTACCCACCTAACAGGGGCACCATTTCAGATTTTGGTGGGCAGGGGCAACTTTAGCCACAATTCCATGCCAGAGGCTACTTAGGCACCTGAAAACTCCAGGTTTTTTTTTGCATGTGATAACTTAGAAATTAATTGACAGGAACAGTGCTCCTAATTCTTATATAGAGAAAACAATACCAATTAAAGCCATATTTTAAGTTTATTTGTAAATTTAGAATTATCAAAGCAAGCTATTTCTAGTCCCAAATCTTGAAATGTCAGTTTTAGAGCCTTAACACAAGTTTGATACTTTGTGCACTATCTTTAGTAGAAATAAATAAAATCTGCTTTAAATCTTGCAATTGCCTTGCAATTATTATTATTTTTTAAATGTCTTATGGTCCACATTGTGAAGAGAATGAGAAAGTTAATTTCTTCCAGGAATGTTTAAAAGTAAATAAATTACTGAACCCCCCCCCCCCCCCCCCCCCACACACACACTTCAGATTGGAAGGAGGTTCCTAGTGTGTCACTTTAAGGATTTGAGAGTATTAAGATCATGGCCATGACATTCACCAAAGGTACTCAAGTTTGTGAGACTTCGCTACCCTGAGAAATATTAAAGAGTAAGTAAACAGGAGTGAAGATGATTACCAGTTGGAAAAGAAGGACATACTGCACAGCAGACACACAGCTATAGCCTGGCTTCTTGGGGCAGCATTTGTTTGTATCTGTACATGTAAAAACACCAGCAGCTCCTTAAAAGGTGTTCTGGGGAAAAGTTTCAGAAGTAGAAAGTGCAACTGCAACCCTGCTGAGGAATCCACGTGTGTGTGTGTGTATATATAACAGTTTGTATCGGCCCTACCTGGTAACCTGGCCCAAAGCCCATTGTAGGGACAGGAAAGACTCACAGACAAGTGGAATGAAATGGAAGAAAAGGCCAGTTGGCCACCCTTGGGTATTGCCATTCCCCCCCAAATTGGAGCTGGAAAAAAATGGGCAAGGTTAAGTGTAATTTAAGCAATGTTTGTGGTGTGACAGCCCATGTTTCTGACAGCAGGGAAAGATCACAGATGTTCATTCTTTAGCTCTGCTGCTCTTGCAGTGAATCACTGAAACATCCAAAGCTGGACTCACTTGAATATGCCTGGGACAGCAGCCCCCTTCCCTCCCCTGCCTGAGCAGCCTGTGTCTACTGGAGGGGCTTATGCCTCCCACCCTTTTTAACCTAACAACCTGTGAGGTGGA